TCGGTTCACCAACACTCTCAATGGAGCCTACCAGGCCCCTTTATCTGTATGCCAGAAATTTTATAATCACAAATGGTTGTCTAGGACCCATGTTTGGGCTTCTACAACTCAGATCGTGGGTCATCCGGGAACGAAATGCACAGACAAATTTAATTCAGAATTTGGCTACCTTTACTAAACTTATAGGGAAGCATAAAAGCTCAGGAGATCTGATCTGAATATTGCAATACAGTTTTAATAGCAAATATAATCTGGTGGAAAGAGAAGGAAAAGGATATAACTAGAGATTAAAGCAATATATCAAACTCGCTTATCCTAAGATAAAGCAATATAACTAGTAATGATCAAGTATGCTGTAAGATACAACCGCCCTTTACAATAATCTCCATAGCATCCCAAACATTCTAAACAAAAAATCAGAAAACTAGCTACCCCCAAAACAAAGATGTTCATTGATAGACAAAAACTCAAAATCAATAGTGAAATCTACATACAAATATACAAATCTATGCATATTGTGGTGAAAAAAATACAGAAAAAAAAAATTCGATTCGGGTTTGTGATGTACAGATCCATGTAGATCTATGCATATATATACATATCTATGTATATATATACATATATCTATAAAAAAAAAAAAAAAAAAAGGATTACACTTACAGCGAAAGGAAGTCCCTTTTTCGTCGATCTGAGTGGAAGTCCCTTTTTCGTCGATCTGAGTGGAAGTCCCATCTTCTTGAGATAAGCTGAGACTGAGAAGAGAAGAGAAGAGAAGAAGGGCCTGAGACAGAGAAAAGAAGAGAGTAGCTGGAGAGCTCGTTGAGACAGAGAATAGAGGGGCTGCCCGTCGATCTGAGTGGAAGTCCCTTTTTCGTCGATCTGAGTGGAAGTCCCATCTTCTTGAGATAAGCTGAGACTGAGAAGAGAAGAGAAGAGAAGAAAGGGCCTGAGACAGAGAAAAGAAGAGAGTAGCTGGGAGAGCTCGTTGAGACAGAGAATAGAGGGGCTGAACGAAGAGAAGAGAAGAGAAGAGAGTAGATGAGCGAAGAGAAGAGAGTAGATGAGCGAAGAAAGAGAGCTCTCTCTTTTCTTCGCTCATCTACTCTCTTCTCTTCGCTCATCTACTCTCTTCTCTTCTCTTCTCTTCGTTCAGCCCCTCTATTCTCTGTCTCAACGAGCTCTCCCAGCTACTCTCTTCTTTTCTCTGTCTCAGGCCCTTTCTTCTCTCTCTTCTCTTCTCAGTCTCAGCTTATCTCAAGAAGATGGGACTTCCACTCAGATCGACGAAAAGGGACTTCCACTCAGATCGACGGCAGCCCCTCTATTCTCTGTCTCAACGAGCTCTCCCAGCTACTCTCTTCTTTTCTCTGTCTCAGGCCCTTTCTTCTCTTCTCTTCTCTTCTCAGTCTCAGCTTATCTCAAGAAGATGGGACTTCCACTCAGATCGACGAAAAAGGACTTCCACTCAGATCGACGAAAAAGGACTTCCTTTCGCTGTAAGTGTAATCCCTTTTTTTTTTTTTTTTTTATAGATATATGTATATATATACATAGATATGTATATATATGCATAGATCTACATGGATCTGTACATCACAAACCCGAATCGAATTTTTTTTTTCTGTATTTTTTTCACCACAATATGCATAGATTTGTATATTTGTATGTAGATTTCACTATTGATTTTGAGTTTTTTGTCTATCAATGAACATCTTTGTTTTGGGGTAGCTAGTTTTCTGATTTTTTGTTTAGAATGTTTGGGATGCTATGGAGATTATTGTAAAGGGCGGTTGTATCTTACAGCATACTTGATCATTACTAGTTATATTGCTTTATCTTAGGATAAGCGAGTTTGATATATTGCTTTAATCTCTAGTTATATCCTTTTCCTTCTCTTTCCACCAGATTATATTTGCTATTAAAACTGTATTGCAATATTCAGATCAGATCTCCTGAGCTTTTTATGCTTCCCTATAAGTTTAGTAAAGGTAGCCAAATTCTGAATTAAATTTGTCTGTGCATTTCGTTCCCCGATGACCCACGATCTGAGTTGTAGAAGCCCAAACATGGGTCCTAGACAACCATTTGTGATTATAAAATTTCTGGCATACAGATAAAGGGGCCTGGTAGGCTCCATTG